ACACACACACATACACTCACATGACCTGCATTGCTCTCTTTCCAGCTGTAGGCAAACTGCAGCAGTGGCTATTAATGTTTCACAACATAGTGTATCTGTGTCTCGGTCTCTGTTTTTTTTTTTTTTTCAAGGGCATGCTGCCAGAGGGAAAGCGTGGGAGGGGTTTGGTGGAGGGTTGGGTGTTCAGACACAGACAATATTTCCCCCATCTCTCGTGCCTCAATGCTTCACTGCTCACCAGACTCAATCACATGTGCGGTGTGCTTTCATGAATTAATAACGGGCACTTTGGAGGCCTGGCAGGAACATGGTGACCACACGCTGATGGAAGTTTAATGAGCAGCACGGGGACTGCGCCGCCATGGCATTGGCGGGTCTCTCAGCGCACTAGGCCATGTCCCCGGCCCTCCCCACAGAGCCACAGTGTTTGGGCTCTCATTACCTAGATAAATATATCTGCCCTCTGGATCAGCCCACAGGCCCTGCTTCCTCCTCCTCCCCCCCAAGAGATGCTATCACAGCCCTGATTACACTGCCATGCCCTTGGGACAATGGCTGGGCTGGAATCACAAGAACACAAACATCAGTCTCAATTCACTCCTCTGCTAAGTAGCCGGCCATAGCAACGCAGCAGCTTGGCCACAGCATGACATAGGTTCAGGATTGTCCAGGCAGAGATCGCTGAGAGCTGTGACTGGAGCAAGGTTCAATGCTGTTTCCAATAGGCAATTATCTCAATCGGATCACATTTGGATTCAGGTAGTAGCACAGGGTAATTACGGAGGTCAGTAGCTAAGAGTGTACCCCCTCCCTCCTCCTCTTTCCCAATGTCTGTGGGGACTGCCCACTGATGAGTCTCTGAGATGCAACACGCTCATTGATTTAAGACTCGCCACAGGCATTGATTTGAAATGGCTGAGATACGAGGGCGCAGAGCACCCTGCCCGTCTTAATGACTAGATCAAATGCATCACACCTCCTCAACTGGCCCGGTCCAATACTGACTACATTCCAGACCAGCTACAATCACACAACTAATTCCCTTTTAGACTCTTGAATTTATTCTTTACTTCAATCTATAAGAAGTGATTTGATCATTGATATTCACAATGAACAAAATGTTGGTGAGACTGCTACAAGAACACAGCTCAAAACCAGCAGCTGAATATAATTTAAAGTATTGTACAAGAGCAAAAGTACTTACATACTACATTTTTAGTATTTCCTTTACTGGAGTGTTTACTTCTACTTCTATACCACCACATTTCAGTAGAAAATATTGGACTTTCATTTATGAAATGTTAAAACATAGTGATAGAGAAGAGCCTGAGAAAACAGCAAATCCTCACATTTAAGAAGCCAACCACATAATGTTTGATATTCTTTCTTGAAAAATGACTGAAATGATTAATTTATTATATTTTCTGTCGGTCTAATCGATCAATCTATTGCACTTTGTAATCACTTAATTTATTTGAGAGCTCTAGTAAGAAAATTAAGATTTTACATATAAAACATGTGGCCACCTTAAAAAATACGTTACATTAATATTGAAAGAAAAACTACCAAACCCTGGATTACTAGACTGATTTAGTATTTCACTACTATAACATTGTCAGAAACAAAGCAGCAGAATCAGAGATATGTTTTATGCATTCTTCTTCCTACATTACCCACAGTACAACTCGACCACGTACAGTTCAGTTGGAGATTCAGGTGTTATGCTAGGAGCAGAGATGAGGACGGGGCTATAGAGGTCTGTTAAGGTCACTAATTCATCCATACTCCACACCCCCATGTTTTTTTGATTTTTAAATTAGTAGTCTTCAGCCCCAGTTGATGCAATTTTTCTGACCTTCAGCTATCAGCTCCCTCTTTTTCCTCCTCAAAACCTTTAAACAGACTTTGATGAGTAAAATAAGTGCTGCTTTTATCAATAATACATAATACTTTTAACCCTGACAGGACCCATTCTTCATCATGCGTTCTTTTACTTCTGACACACTGAGTTGGCATCTTCTCGACAATGCTTACATACTTGCACAATAATTTCAATGCAGGGCTTTTACTTTTGTAAAAAGGCTTTGACCATGGTTAAAAACAGGACATGCCCAATGCACATTAATATATCATAGTGGTCTGTTGGTGCAATTTGTATTCAAAGTGTAACTGATGGCTTTGGAGGCAGATGT